GGTCTAACTGAATGACACGCAGCCTGCACAGCCTCCCTCACAGTGCTACAGGATCACAGGCACGCAACGTGAATTCAAACTGCTTTCAGTTCGGGAGTCAGCATCCTCTGTCATGCTGATACTGAATGCTCTAGCTCTCTGTCGCACACACACACACACACACACACACACCATTAATAACACACTCAAACTGAATTAAGAATGCACTTGGCCCGCAGACATTTTCAACTGCTGATTTTTAAAATTCAGGTTAATATTTAGCTTTAAATTTTATTTTTAATTCTTAAAAAATGACCGAGGTCCGGACCTGGGTGACCTCATAGCTGGCTGTGGCCCTGAACCAGGGATGTTGTGAGGATCTTAAGACATCATTAGCTATATAGCCCAGAGACTTCATCTGCTGAATTAGCTCTCTCTGAAGTTAAGATGATCGTAGCATTACAAAGGTTTTGGGAAAGCAGCCCTGGACCGTTGTGATGTATGGAATTGAGAGCAAACATGTTAAAACATCTGAGCTAAACAAATCATTCAGAGTTTGTTCACATAAAGCCCCAAATGGCCCAGGCTCAAGACACAGCTGTACAACAGATTTCAAAAGCAACACTTGCATATAACCTAATGTGGCCCGTTTGAGTCACTGCGGACCTCTGCTGCTGTAACCTTAAGCAAATAACAAATTTCTCCTGTGAAATATCCAACTGTAAAAAAGGATGAACATTTGTAAGGAGCTCTTTAACATCAAAAATAAAATATGAAAGAGATTATCAGGACAAACAAACAAGCAAATTTATTTTTGTATAGCGCGTTATCACAACATTACATCGTCTCAAAGCGCTTTACAGCATCCCCACCCAAAGCCCCCAGTGAGTAAGCCATAGGCGACAGTGGCAAGGAAAAACTCCCGAGAAGGAAGAAACCTTGGGAGGGACCAGACTCAAAGGGGGAGCCCATCCTCCAGGGGCCGGCAGGGAGAGTCAGATAGGAGAGATGGCTAAGTGCCGAGTCATACTGTCCAAATCATAAAATTTGAGACACAAACGGGGAGCAGGAGGGAGATAACAAGCCGGTGCCGAAGCTCCTTCCAATCACCAGGCAACCAGAAGTAAGGCAGCGGGTCATACATGGAGGATGACACAGGCAGAACGTCGAGCTGAATGTAGGGACATCATTGGAAATGGTGACGTCACATGTAGCAGGGTGTGCTGGACATCTTGATAGATTGAGGTCTCCAGGCAGCACCCCCCAGGAGGAGTAGGGGAAATAAAATATGCAATTAGTCGAAGTAGGGGAGACTATAAGCAGTGCTAAAAGTTAGATGAGTGCAATATGAAGTACAATGTGCAAGCTCCGGCAGATATGGCTATGGCAGCATAAGTAGGAGGGAGAGGCAGGTGGGAATGCAGGCATGGGGAGTCCCTGAAATGTCAGCACTCCAATCCCACAAGCGATTGTGAAGCTAGAGTGACAGCACTGTCAATTCAGTTAATCCAAAGCCAATGGCACCGATCCCCACCCAGCTCTACATCTCACACTATAGGTCTAACTGGGAGTGAGGAGTTAGCTAGAGCTAGAACTAGTGTCCCTATAAGCTAAACTAAACAGGTGTGTTTTTAGTCTAGACTTGAATATTGAAAGTGAGCCTGAAACCCGCACATCCGGTGGAAGACCATTCCACAGCTGAGGAGCTCTATAGGAGAAAGCTCTGCAGCCTGCCGTAGATCTTTCTATCCTAGGTACTAACAGATATCCCGCACCTTGAGATCAAAGCAAGGTCAGCAGATCACTAAGGTATTCTGGTGCAAGGCCATTCAGTGCTTTATAGGTTAATAGCAGGATTTTATAGCCAATCCGAGACTTAACTGGTAACCAATGAAGGGAGGATAAGACTGGTGTAATGTGATAAAATTTTTTTGTGTTTGTGAGAACTTTGGCTGCTGCATTCTGTACCAGCTGAAGTTTATGTAAGGATCCAGATGGGCAACCAGACAGGAGGGCATTACAGTAGTCCGGTCTGGAAGTTACAAATGCATGTATACAGTAGGACATGGATTAGTAATGAGTTACAGGCATGATACAACTCAGACTTTCAAGAAATATGTAAAAGACCCTTATTTCTCACAATTAAAATATATTTATAAAGACTTTTCTAAGAAACAAATTCAAACGTTTATATGTTGACATGCAGTAGAATTGACAACTCCATCCCAACAGCCGCTGGGATACTTAAAGAGCAAATGGACAATAATTAAATTGTAAAGGTATTTGAAAGTCTTTGGGATTCCAGCCATTAATCTCTCCACAGCGAGTGAGCCTCCAGTCACTGGGTTCGCTGGGAGGAGTGTCACCCTGCCTTGCAGTAATAATGGCAATTATTACGGCCGTCTGCCTGCGTGCTGGGGGCGAGGTGCAGTGCCACTACTGTACGAGGCTGCAGTAACAGGATCATCAGTACCAACGGGAGCGCAGTGATTTTCATAAGAAGTGTCAGATACCTGTTAGCGGGCAAGTTCAGCCAGGGTGATGTCTCCCTGACCACTGTCAGTGCTGTGAAAGTGACTCTGGGACTCAGGACGCCCGCAGCCCCACGTGCTCAATCAGACTCCTCCTGCTAACTAAACTCACAGCCAATCCGGGCTTCTGCTCGTGGCTGAACACACTGCAGCAGAACCACTGACCCAGCAGCTGCTGGGAAGCAATTTATAGAGCAAATGGCTTCTGCAAACCTAACAACTCATACTAATGGGTGTTTTAATAATTTTAGCATTCTGCTCATTCAGCACATGCCTACCTTTACAATTTTAGCAAGTGTCTCTTTGAGCGTCAAGATGAGCTTCTGTTAACTTGCTTCCTATTTTTTTTCATCACAGCAGGTTATATTGAGTTGGTTAGTGTATCAAACATTGAAAAGGCAGCTGTTATGGCTCCCTGTCCTCATGCAGCCTGTCCCTGTTTCACAAATATGAGGTCTGTTC